ACGATTAGTATTTTCATTTAATCGTGCATTTGATTAGCATCAAAGTATGAATGATACCTATCAAAGGTACTCTCGATTTCCTAATAAACGTCCCCCCCCCCCCCCCCCGTTTATTAATTTTTGGATATATTTATCACCCACCCTAAGCTTATTAAGAACCCCCCCCCCCTCGTTTATTAATTTTTACTTGTTATCAACAAAAAAATTATATATCTCAAAAGTAAAATAAAAAATTCAGTGAAAATCGGCCTTAAAAATTTGAAAATAATTTTCAGTCACCGATAAAAACAAAAACTTTCAGTGTAAACAGGTTTTACAAATTGTCGACCTATTAAATCTCGATTTGCTAAAAATTTTACTTTATTTCTCAACAAAGCTTTGGTTTTAAATATAGGATTTAATATGCTGAATAGAAGTTTTATACTTTGCAAAGTATAAAACTTTGCAAAGTATAAAAGTTTTATACTTTGCAAAGTATAAAACAAAGTATAAAACAAAGTATAAAAATTCAGCATATTAAATCCTATTGAAACTATGATAAAACAGCCTAACCCTACCCTAACAGCTGTTAGAAATTGCGCTTTTGACCGCAAGTCAAATGCGCATGAACATGCATAAATGCTTGAAGCTTGAACATGCATAAGCCTGAACATGCATAAATAGTTTTATGCATGCTTTGTAAAAAATATTGGTTTGGATTTATAAATTAAAATTTTTTACAAAAATATTTATATTGTAACATGGCGTCAGATCGGAAATTTTCAAGAACTAACCGAGATAAATACAGCTGTAAGAGAGTTTTATTCGGACCTTAAAGACATTAAGCATGATAATTCAACCTTAACAAAAGCCCTAAAACTTGGGAAAAGATGTCTAAACTAAGTTGAGGCAGATGAAGATGCTGTAACTGCTCCTCCAAGCAAATCAAGTTATCGTCAAGCAGGAGGAGGACGAAAATTAACCATCCCAGACGTCAGACAACTTTTATTCGAGTGGTTTGTAGACATCCGTGGAACCCTTAAAGCACGTTTACCCAGGAAAATGTTTACAGCCCAATGCAAACTTTTTTATGAACAGTGGCTTGCCCAACAACCAAAAGAGGTGCTAGAGAACAAGAAAATTGTTTTCTCAAACTGTTGGTTAAATAACTGGATGAGTGAGCATGGTGTCAGTCTGCGCCATCCTAACAAACGCTTTCAAATGATGCAGGCTGACCGTGAAGAAAGAATATTTGAGTACCTGAAAAACATTTGGACTGTACGTAAATACTTTATTGAAAATTTTGGAGTTGATCCACCTGTGCTGAATGGTGACCAAATGCTACTCCACCGAAATAAAAGTTCTACCCAAAAGACCTTGAACTTTACTGGTTTGGACACATACGTCAAAGAAAATTATTCTCTTTCAAGAGAACGAATTACTGTTTACACTCAAGTTTGCAGTGACCCTAAAGTCTCAATTAAACCAGAATTTGTGTTTAAAGCTCCCCATTTGAATCAATAAGTTGCGGAGTTCCACAAGGATCAATACTTGGACCTTTATTGTTTTTAGTTTATATCAATGATATTTTTTTGTCTTCAAAAATACTTAATTATACTATTTTTGCTGATGACACTAATGTTTTCTTTTCTGACTCAAATTTAAAAAATATTTTTTATTATGTAAACGCTGAACTAATATATCTTAATGAGTGGTTTATAGCAAATAAACTATCATTAAATATTGAAAAAACTAAATATATTTTGTTTGCTAAACCATCTCAATCCGAGAACCTTCCACTTAAACTTCCAGAACTAACAATTAACAATATTAAAAAAAAAAGAGTTTTTTCAATGAAAATACTAGGAATAAATTTCGATGAACATTTAAATTGGTAAAGCCAAATAAAGTTAGTCGAGAACAAAGTTTCAAAGACTGTGGGGATTATGTACAGGACAAAACATCTTTTGAATAAAATATGTTTAAAAAACTTATACTTTTCATTTATACATAGTCATATTAACTATTGTAATATTGCCTGGGCAAACAATCATTCATCTTTCCTAAAAAATATTTATACTAAACAAAAGCAAGCAAGTCGATTAGTTTTGGGCGCAGATAGGTACGAAAGTGCCAAGCCGTTACTCAAGGAAATTAATGCGCTAAACGTATACGAACTAAATATATACCATAACTTGTTATTTATGTTTAAACTTCAAAATGAACTAATTCCAAAATATTTTTATAAAGGTTTCTCTCTAATTAACCATAAATATGAAACAAGACACTCAATAAATAATTACTACATCCCACCAACATCACTCAAAAAATCTGACTTCTCAATTACATGTCGGGGGCCACGCTTGTGGAAGTCAGTTCTTGACGAAAATATGAAAAAAATAAAATCTATTGATATATTCAAAAGAACTATAAAAAAACACTTACTAAACTCAAACACTACATACATTCTTTCATTTTTTTAAAAATAATATTTTTTTGATAAATTTGATAAAAAGCTTTTTTTTTTTTTTTTTTTTTTTTTTTTTATATATATATATACATATATATCTTTCTTGTTTGATTTCTCTTTGACTGTTTTTTTTTTAACTTTTTTTAATAAATACTAACAAATGAATTTAAATCTACATAACGTTTGGAATCTTTTTAATATATAAATATTTTTGAATATATACTTCGCTTTGTATTGAATATGTATACGTATATGTACTGATTTGTAAAAAAAATTCAAACTTTTTAATTTACGCATTGTATACATTTTTATTTTTTTATTTCGAGATTTTATTATTATTATTATTATTATTTTTTTTTCTTTCTAACTTTTACTTTTTTTAATTTTTAATTTATTTTAAACTTTTTAATTTTTTTCAATCTTTTTACTTTATTTCAAACTCTTTAAATTTTTTTATTTTTATTTTAATTTTGTTTGAATGTTTGTTTATTTTTTTCAAAATTTTTAATTTAACTCTTTTTTATATTATTGGAATTTTAGAAATTTTATATTTCTCTATTTCACAAAAGGGCTTGATGATAAGACTTTATGTCTTCTACTTGCCCCTGTCAGCTTGTAATTATATATATATTTATTCGAATTTAAAGATAACATTGTAAAATGTGTAAAACGACAAAATAAACTAACTATATATAAAGGCAAAGGTGTTAGGGTTAAACTTAATCCTCCTCAAGATGTGAAGTTTCAATGGGCACCTAAAGGTTCCTATTGATTGGAACATATGCTGAATACAATAGCTAATTTACCAAACAGGCATTATATTTTTACACATCAAAATTACGGGATTTATGTTCTAGATGATTATAGTGTTCATATAATGCCAGAAATCAAAGCTGCCTTACTATAGAAAGGCTATATTTATGTCGAAATAAGTGGTGGTGTTACAGGGGACGTTTAAATTGACGATACAGATTTCCACAGGCCTTTAAAAGCTAAATACCGAGAGTTGGAGCAAAACCTTATGATAGAGCAATTAAGGCTTGACCCCAAAAAAATTCTACAGCCATCCAGGGATCACATGATGCAAATGCTACTAAAAAGTTGGAATTCGTTGGAGAATGATGTTACTAGTCGATTTAAGGCACTATGGGTAACCAATGCTTTAGACGGAAGCAAGGATTATCTAGTTTCGGAAAGCCTTAGTGGGAGAAAAGCTTCAAGCATTTCGGAAAAAACTTATGCTTACCCCAAGCCCAAGAAACTTGAAAGATCTTCAGGGGCTAATTCAACCTCCAAAAGGAGTGAAACGAAAGTAAGGACAAAACGCTTGTGAAACAGAGCCGCTAGATGAAGGATATGAATTATTTGATTGTGAAGGTGAAACATTATTTATAAATCAACTTGATGAAGAGCATCAGACAGACGAGGAAAACGATACAAATTTGGAAACAAGTGCTTTAGAAAATCAAGATGAAAACAATCGAGTTAATTTAAATACCGATAGTTCATCCAACATTTTATTAGGTGACTTATGTCAAGGCAATGATGATCTAAGAAAAGATGCTGTTTTCATTGATGAATTAGGAAAACTTTTATGTAATGCAGAAACATCAACCCAATTTATTCCACATCTTACAAGATTGAAACAGAGCTATATAACATCTCGCCGTGCCATATAAAGCCGTATTGAAAACAACTTTGAAGCCTTTGACAACGAACAGTTAGAAAATGAAGTGGAACACCGCGATGAAAATGATTCAATCAGGAACGCTTTTGAGGATCTATTTAAATAAAAAGATCTTTTTGATATATTTTATTTAAAGTTAATAAATATTGATAATTAAACCTTTTTTAAAGTCGTACATTTTCTTTTGGTAAATTATTTTTGTACGTTACTACGGGGGTTGTAAGAAGGAGTACGGGGATTACATTCTTTCTCTGTTTACTAGAAATAGAAGATGTTCCTTTTTTTTAAACAAAAAAACCCGCACATTTATTTTGTAGATAAAATCCTCCTCCTCCTATAAATCCCCCCCCCCCCCCCGTTTATTAAATTTCAGAAAAAATCTCTCATTCCCCCCTCCCTCTCCGTTAATTAAAACCCCCCCCGTTTATTAGATTTTGACTAAAATTCCCACCCATCCGTTTATTCCCACCCCCTGTTGTATTCGGCACTCGAGAGTAAGAAAGAGTAAGAATCATATCTAACCTCTAACAATAATATTATGCGCAACAATAATCTAATTAAATAAAAAATTATTTGATGCTGCGAATCTATTATAATAAAACTCACGGATGATGTAGGAAATAGTGTAGTTATGAAACCAATAGAGGTAGAGATTACTAACGAATGGTGTTCAGCAAAGTTGAACACCATTCGTTGATCTCAAAGGTAGCGTGATGAGCCAAACAGATGTGTTTTATAATTGACTTTAAATTTTATAAATATTTTTTAAAATTTTCAAAAGGTGGACGATTTGAAATGGAATCGTCACATCTAACAACTTAAAAACAAAACAACGTGGTTTCTTAAAAAAAAATTTGTTGAACATTAATTGTTCAAAATAAATTTGTTTTATTTTACATTTTTACATTAAAATTAACTTTGGATTTCGGGGTTGAAGTGTGGGCGGTTGGAAAGCTTTTCTACAAAAAGAAGCTTTTACAGTTGGCGATTTGTCGTCTGGATACAATCGATCTGAATGTAAACGATGCATTTCTTTATAGGCAATCTTGTATTCTCGATCGAATGCGTCTGAAAATAAAATTTTATAAAACAGTGAAGAAAAAAGTTAACAAACAAATTTTTTTCTAACTTAATTGTGAACTTTAAACAATTTGATACCTCAATATCTCTCACACACAAAATAAACACCATTTTTTAAACTATTTGAGAACTTCAGTAAAACTTTATTTCTATAAAATATAGAAATAAAGTTTTACAAGACTTTTGCATTCATCTTTTGCAAAACTTGATATCTCTTTTTTTCACAGAAGAGAGAGAATTTCTACAAAAGATTCTTGAGAAAATCACAAAAAAAACTGTTATGGTTTGATCGATCGATACACACACCTGATCAAAACATCTGATGCAATATTTCAAATCCGTTAAAGTATTATGCAATAAAGCTAAAGTTTTAATGTTTTGAACTTTTACGAATGGTCTTGATTTTGTTATAAACCATCCAAGAATGAGGGCTTATTCATCCAAGAATGAGGACTTATATTAAAACATAATTAAACTTAAATAAAATTTGAATTTTAACTTTAAATATTAATTTTTTTCTCTTTTAAATGAGGAATTACTCTAATATCTAGATAATATTATAATATTATATTAGTTGCTTATATTATATATATATATTTTTTTTATTTAAATGCGTTCAAAATATAAATTCAAAAAAATCTTTTAGTAGCTTTTTATTTAGTAATCATTGTACATTCCTATAACTTTCATACCAATATCTATGTTATCTTCTCCACACGAGACCAATGATAAAAACATTAATTCTCTGTACAAACTCCTAAAAAATGTTTAAAGTTAGTCTAGTATTAATTCAATGGTATAATTAACTTAAATAACTTAACTAATTTAATTTATAATCCCAATAAAACTCACCAATGCAAATTTGGATTTTCTTTTTGTTGACGACTTCTTTCTTCTAATAGTATTTTAATAGGCTCCATAATATCATTCTTCTGCACATGCAAGTTGATTGTTTTCAATGTACTAAAAATTGAACAAAAAAAGTGCATATACATCCCATTGAATCTGATAGGTTATGGTCAACAATCATATGCGCATCTAGAGGTTTGTAAAAATTTATAACTTTGTCTACCTGTGTGATTTTACAGATCATCAAAAACTAAGCTTTGCTGCATCATTTACCTAATTTACACCAACATTGTGTGTAAATGAGGAGTAAATTTTCAAAAAAGTGTCAAGTCAAAATAAAAAATTTTAAGTTTATTCCATTTCCAAATTTATATATATATATATATACATATATATATATATATATATATATATATATATATATATATATATATATATATATATATATATATATATATATATATATATATATATATATATTATATATACTGAAATCATTCATCTATTTAAATAAGACAATAATAGATTCTTGGTCCTAATAATAGAGAGAGAAAATATTAATTTCTGTTGTACTGCCTTTAAGCAGTTCAGTTTTTTGTCCATTTCTCGAAATCAAGGTACTTGATCTTAACACCTTTTGAAATTTCAATTGTAAGCATTTATAAAATTCGAAACTAATAAATTAATACATGCATCACATCACAACAACATGCGCAGTAACAAGCATAATAGAAGTCTTATATATTCTCCAATATTAAAAATTAGGCTTCTAAAACCAAATATAAACATATTGATCGCCACAATAATTTATGCTCATAAGATTGCAAGACTTTGTTTTCTGAAACTGAATACATTTGTCTCAAATGCAATGGTTTCATCTATTTCAAATTTATTTAGAGCCTAAACCAACACATCAGGATGCCAATAAATTTCCCTTTATTCAATATTGATTAGCCTAATACTATTTGGTTATTTTTTTCCCGTTAAAATTGATTGATTTAAAATTTTAAAACTTTGACTATCTATTCATAAAACTGTAAGAAGGAATAATAATATTTAATTAATAATATTAATATGCACTGTTGCATTAAGACAATTATACCAACATACAATAAGAAATAGGGAATATGAATACTCACTTGTATGGTGTCCAATTATGATCAGCTATTAAATAATGCTTGTCTTCTAAAAACATTAAATAAATTTACAAGACATAAATTTCAATTCAATTTTTTTTGTTGTTGTTGATTTAAGTTATATTGCAAACAAGTTATTAAAAATTCTAAGTGTTTCATTTTTCTTACCAGGCAAATTCCACAGCATATATAGAGGAACAGTGGAATTTGTTTGTCTATTCATATCCCAAGATGTAGATATAACAACTTCATTGGAGGAAAGACTCTGTAAACGTTAAACAGTTAAAAATATGCTTAATATGCCTTTAAAGGGAAAAACAAACAATTTATTTAAAATGACACAAAGTATAGGTTACGAACAATATGTTTTCCACGTGAAGCAGAAAGCAACATAGGTAAATGACTGGGTAGAGCCAACCTTCGAAAGTACCAAACCTAAAGTTAAACAAAAATAAAGTTAATGATTCACTCTTGTTTTTAAGTATTTACCACAAGTTTAAAAAAAAAACATTATGTTTTTAAACATTTACCATATTCCAGAACAAGATTGGTTTCTCTTTCACTATTTCAGCTGTTTGTAACACATGATCACCATTATTTTCAAGCAAGTTTTCAACTTCCTTGCGAAGTACCAAAGGACTCAAGTAAGGTACTGAGCAAGATTCTGATTCTACTGGCGAGTCTAAGAAAATACCAAACCGATTATAATTACATTAACTTAATTATGTATGAACTAAAAATTATAATTAAAATAATTACCCTAATTAATACAAATTTTGCATTACATGCAAAATTAAAAAAAAAAGTACAAATGGTGTAAGATGTATGGAAACAATATGAAGTTGATTAAATTCTTATTTTATCTTTTTTATTTTTTTTGTGTATTTTTTTTTAAATCTTTTTAATCTTTACATTTATATTATATTATATATATATTTATATATTTATAAATATATATATATTTATAAATATATATATATTTATAAATATATATATATTTATAAATATATATATATTTATAAATATATATATATATATATATATATATATATATATATATATATATATATATATATATATATATATATATATATATATACAGTTGCGAAAAATAAAATAGCACCACTAAGCATATTTTCCTTTTTGTTAAGAAAACAGCATGCAATAAATTTTTTTTATAGCTTTGCTGTTTAAAATATTAACATGTTTATTTTCTAAAACAAATCATTTTGGGAAAAAAACTGCTTGGTGTTGCTTGATTTTAATCAAAAAATTCTGACCGAAAAATAAAATACTTTGATATCAATAAAAACAATTGTGAAAATAGCAAGCATTGTTTTTTTTTTTTTGCTGTTTTATTTGTTTTATGTTAGTGCGTATTAGTAGGAAACATTTACATATAAAAATAGGGCGCGGAAAGCATTTTAGTGCAGAAAAACGAGAACTGATATGAATGTTGATATCAGCAGGGAAATCTTATAGAGAAGTTGGTCGTTTGGTTAAGTGTTACAATAAAATGATAAGAAATGCCATAAAATTTCAAGAAAAGCATGAAACACGTGTTCGAAAATGTTCTATTTCAACATTGCTGGCCAATCGCTTAGTCAGACAGGCTAAAAAATTGAAAGTTCAATTAATTGATGTATGTCTGCAAGAGTAAGTTTAGTTCGAGTTTTTAAGTCATCAATGTCAGCATTCAATATATCAATAATAACCGGAATTGCTTCGTCAATGGGTATGGATGGATATAAATTGACTATATCAAATGAAACTTGAACTTCGTTGAACTTCATTAAGTATATGCTATTTCTTATATGAAAACAATATCCGAATAATACCTAATTCAAGTCCTATAGCTTTATCTTTAATGGTTGTTATGGCGGAAGCGTTTTTAAAGAATATAGAAAGAAAAGCCCTCAACATAGCAATTATTCATACATCCAAACCAAAAACTTACAAGAGATATGTAGATGATTGTCATGCTCGCTTTGCTTCAATAAAACAACAACAAATGTTCCTGAACATCCTTAATGAACAACATCCTGCCATAAAATACACAGTGGAACTTGAAAACGACCTAAAACAACTCAATTTCCTAGATATTAACATTACAAACACAGGCTCTGGAACTTATGAATTTCAAATACATAGAAAAGAAGCTATTGCAAATGTTCAACTTAAACCTACCTCGAACATTAATCCTAACATTATTATTGGCATTTTCAAACAATTTTTATGTCGTGCTAAAAGAATATGCTCTCAAAAATACCTTCAAAAAGAAATTGATTTTCTAATAGACATCTTTGTTGAAAATGGCCATGACAAGAACATTCTAAATAATATTACTATAGACTATTTAAAAAACGGTTTAAAAAACACCACATTTCAACCAATAAATACCCAAAACTTTGTAAAACTACCTTAGATACCGATTGTTGGTCCAAAACTTTGTAAAGAATTTCGAAAGCAAAACATAAAGGTTATTTTTACACCAATTCCCAATTTAAAAAATATTTTCTGCAACAATAAAGCTAAACTACCACTAAACACAGACCCTGGCGTATACCAGCTAAAATGTTCATGCGGTTCGATATACATTGGCAAAACTAAAAAAAAGATGATATCGAGATGTATTGAACACCAAAAAAAAACAGCTTAAAAGGAAAATGGTCCAGTTCGGGTGCAACTGAGCATTCTAAAACATGCCATGGTAAGTTAAATAGGTTGCACCCCAAAACATTATCTGTAGCCCCAGAATATCGAACTCGGAAAATCAGAGAGTCACTCGAAATAAGCAAAGCTAGGGTTCAACAGGAGTTGAGAAATGGTGACGCGGTTTTCAATTGGGATGACGGTGATAACGTAACAACCAAAACCTGGGGGCCATTTTTTAATAAAATCTGCTGACGTCAGTTATTTGAAAAGTTTTTTCTGTATTATATTTTGGCTTTTTAATGTTATTTTATTTATTATACCTGATGAAGCTGATCACAATAGATCAGCGAAATATCTAAATAATTATATATTAAAGAAAAAATATATATATTTAAAAAAAGTTTATACGCAACCGTATTTATTGAATTCTACCCATATTTTAACGTATAACAAGAAAATGACATTCAAAGATTATATATATATATATATAATATATATATATATATATATATATATATATATATATATATATACATATATGTACAGAATATATATGTTTTCCAATGATTAGTTGAAGTTACAAACTGAAACAAATAGTTCTGAACTAGTTGATTACAATAGTGGGGATCAATAAAAAAGCCAACATCATTAACAACTCATAAAAGTTTTTAAATAACAACTTAAAATAAGAGGTTTTTAAAGAATTTCTCGTCATTCATATCTAATTTAACACAAGGTTTGAATGGAAAAAAACATTTGTTGATATCTATCCAGCTGGGAAGATAAATATAGGTGGATTAAGTATAACGCTGTTATACTTAATCCACCTATATTAATTAAGAATGAAATTCTGTTGGATATTTTGTTAGAAATCTAATGTAAATTATCAAAGACAATAAAGAAAAGAGATTTCTTTGGAATCATGATGGATGAATCAGCTAATAACTCAGAAAAAGAGCAGGCTTTATTAGCCAAACTAACAATTTATTGAACCCTTTATTTGCTTTTAATAATTTTTATGAATTTTCAGACTTTATAGGTATTGATATCCTTTCGTAATGTGGCATACTTCTGTACAGTGGATGATGAATTCCAAATTAATGAGGATTTTTGTGAATTTTATGAGATAGCCACAACTAAAAGCAAAGATCTGGTTTTGATTATCAAAGACATCTTTCTTTGCTCCAATTTACAGCAGGTGAACCATCAAAAACAATGCTATGATGGAGCTGCTGCTATGCCTTCTGACATAGCTGGCTTGCAAAAACTTGTTCTTCAACAAGAAACCAGAGCCCTTTATGTTAATTGCAGAGCTCACAACATAAATTTGGTCATACAAGATGAAATAAAAAACATCATTGATATTGAAAATATTATATGTTCAAAAGTTCATTCTTTTTACCAGAAACTCTCTAAAGAGGCTCACTTAGTTTTTAAGTCTAAAATCATCTTTTAGACTTTTTTGCCCAAACAGATGGATAATGCGTCAGTCATCACTGGCATCTATTACCAGTAATTACCAATCACTTCTGGTTTGGCTGGAAGATCATAACACCAACACTGACTTATGCAGAAAATGCAGAGTGGAAACAATGACCTTTTTGTCTTCTCTCCAGGTTTGTGACAGTTTTTTTTTATATTGAAAATTCTTTGAATCATCTTAATCCTACTAGAAGATTCAAGCATTCAATTTTAGAGAAGTCAACTCAACTTTAGTAAAGCTGAATCCATCATTCAGACCCTAAAACAAATTTTTGTATCTTTGCATACAAAGTCACATTTTAAAACACTTTTGGATGCAAAAACTGAATCTGCTAAAATGATGGATGTAGAAAAACCAGTTCCACCTAGAAAGAAGAAAATACCTGCAAGATTTGTAAGTGGCTCCAGGAATACTTATTACCAGCCAAAGACCCAAATGAGATCAACAAGCAGTTATACTTTACCGGCTTTGATGCGGTTTTAGTCCGCCTCACCTTTTTATTAGCCAAAGATCCAATCAGGTGAAACTGTGGCTGAATTATGAAAAGTTGACTTAAAGTTTTAAAAGTTTTAATGTCACACCCAAGCAGTGAGCGATGCATAAAGCTTGGAACAGAGGCTTCATAAAAAGTAGCTGGCTCCATTTTAGCTGGCACATAACTCTAGATCCTCAATAAGCATTTAACGCATTCAGTAACAAACTAAAATCTAAATTTTAAAACATTTTTTTTTCTTGTTTAGATATTGTTCTCAACAAGCTATAAGATCAATTTTCCTATACAAAAATTAAGATAAATAAAAATGCTTAAATCCTTAAGTTTTTTAAATTTAAAACATGCTGTTTTTTATGTATCTATTATTAGATAGAATTACAAGATAGAACTAGCAAAAGAATTACAAAATTATAAATTCAAAAAACCATAAAATAGCAATTACATTTAAAAAAAATTTTAATTTTAAACTTAAAAAGAAATTAAAATATTTTTTTTCAAAAAACTAAATTCTTTTTGGGACTTTTCTAATTGTTTACAGTGTGAGATGAGACTTAATATTTTAAAGCTATTAGTAACAACAATTTTATTATTGACTATAAAATGACACAAACACATTAACAATTTTATTAGACTTTCAAAGAAATAGCACAAATTAAATAAAGAAGTTTGTCCTTTTTCTGAAGCTGTTACCATGACAGGTGCAGAAGTTTCTAGACATAAGTTAAAGATAACCTGGGCAAACTTGATATATGACTTAAACTTGACGAAGTAAAGTAGAATAGTTATAAAATTACTTGATTTCAAAATTTGTAATTTTAAAAAAATTACAAATTTTAAAATCAAGTAATTTTGAAATCAACTGTAATCTGTAACACAATTGTAACGAGATTACAGTAACAAATTAATATAAGATTAAAAACAAAGTAACAATGATTTTTTTTACCCAAAAATGAACTGACACCAGTGCTACAATTACTGATTGTTTTTCTATGTTTTACAATTAAAGGTCTCTGTGGTGTTCCGACTGCACCTGATGAGCTGTGACTTGGGCTTGAACAAGCATTGAAGTTATCCTCAACTGTATTAAGACTATTCAATGCACTTTCATGCTTTACAGAGGCAGGTTTTGCAGAAGTTCCTGGTAACTGATCCAATGAAGAAGAAAAAAAGTCTTCCAATTGCTGAATTGAGCCTTGATTATAGAAAAATAAACAAAGTTAAAAGAATACTTAAACAAAAATTGTATACATAATGGATATAAAAAAGTTAAACATATAATGGATATAAACCAACTTGTTTCTTTTTCAGAAGGAACTTTTGAGACTAATGAATCACTGAGGCTAGAAAGCGAAAATGAATTTTGATTTGAAACACAACCTTCTTTACATTCAATATTATTTCTTGAGCCCAAATTCTGTGAATAATCCTAAATAAAAAATTTGTATTGTTTGGCACAATCTAATAACAAGATGTATTTATTCATTTTATATCCATATATAGAATTTTATATTAAATAAAGTTATGGAAATAATAAAGAGGACCATAAATTATATAATAAAACATAAATCATAGTTTATCTAGTTTTGGACTTTATCTGGAAATAAACTTTTCTTTAAGAAAAACATACATTATTTTTATTACAATGAAAGAAAAAGTGAACTTAATAATAATTTTTTTTATTATTGTTTTTAAATTTTCTGGATTCATTGCTTTAATTGTTGATGGAACTGTTCAACAAATATTTTATTTTGCATTACACCCTATACTATATTACAAGGTTCAATATTAAAAAACAATAAAGTAAAAGAAAAGTTTTTAAGTATATTTGATTATGTACAATTAGAAAAACTATTGCACAAGCTTTTTTGACAGTTAGTTTAATAAGCAAAAATCTGTTTGGAAGCCAGAATGTCACAATGAATCTCAAACACACAAAAAATATTAATGTAAAAAAACTAAAATGTTAGTATCACAACATTAAGATTAAAGTATATTATATAACCTTTAAAAGTAAACATATAAATAAAATATGAAAATAAACCATAAGTGTAAGCCACATCAAAAAATAAATCAAAAACATAATTTTAAGAAATGGATATATTATTAAAAATTTTACCAATTCAAAATTAAAAACAATGATAATAATAGATAGTAAACACTAATAATAATAACAATATATAATAAAAACAAAAAAATCAAAGATTTAAAAACTTATTTAAATACATTAACACATTTACTTTACCCAATAAATAAAAAAACTTTACTTTTAACTTAATCTCTAGCATTGGTACTCGTTTTGTTTGACAAAATGGACACCTAAAAAATCCAAAATTACATATTTTATATAATTATGCACATATTTTATTTATATTAATTATTTATATTATAATTATATATATTCATTACTGATACTTAACATCATTATAACTTTTGATAAAACTACATTATTTGTACTGCTACTATGACAACATAACTGTAAACTTTAATGTTATATACAATAGAAAATAATGCTGCACTGATAACAATTGAGTGAGATTTGTTTTCTAAGTGATACTGTGCAGAACTTAATTCACAATTAAAAACTATATAAGAATTTTCTCTCACAGCCCTAAAAATTATATATTGCATTTTTATATTATATAGAGAATTTATAAAAATATTACAATATATTGAGATTTGAATCATCAGCACTCCATGCCCCCATAACTTCTTCATCATAGATAATTTTATCACATGTTGAACATATTTGACTGCTGCATATCACAGCCTCCAAGGAGATAGGAGATTTTTGAACATAAAACGACTTTGGACATGAACTACCCAGAGATAAATTATTGTTCCACATTTTTTCGAGAGAAGTAGTTTGACTATCGACCATGCTTGTACTTAAAGAACGAGATGTTTCTTTGAGCTTATTAATTTTGATTTGATTGATAATTTCATTATCTGAAATCTGACTGCTCATACTTAGATTTCGAATATGTTTTTTCAAAGAAACAATATTATTGCTACTTAGAGACTTCTTTGGTTCTTCGCCAAATTCAATTAAACCTAATAAAAGTTTTTACTATTACTCATCATAATCACAGAAATGATAATTATCATCATCACCATCATGATAATGATCATTATTACCTTTATTTAAAAAAAAAAAAAAATTCAAAAAAAAAAACTTCTGCACATTCTATTGTTTTTTTTCTTCAAAAATTAGATATTTTGTTTTGATATTGAAAAAAGCAGAAAATTTTTTAAACTTTGAATAAGATACAATGATCCACCTGACCGAACTTTATAAATAACTTCCACCTGACCAAAAGTTATAAATAACTTCCAGCCAGTTGGATCTGAATTATCCAAGAATAACAACTTCAAAATAATTATGTAAACTTGTTCTGGAGCAAGAGCTGCAATATTTATAATTTAATACATTAATTTATTAACTTGTTAATTTATTATTATTAACACATTAATTTATTAACTTGTTAATTTATTATTATTAACACATTAATTTATTAACTTGTTAATTTATTATTATTAACACATTAATTTATTAACACAAGAGATTCTAATCTGCTCAATAATTATTGCAAAAAGACATTAAAAATAAAAATTGCTTCTTTTTCATGTTTTTTTGCCTCTTTTTCATCCATGGCCCTAATTAAGTTATAAAATTAGCAGTGATTTAACTTCTTCTAACTGAAAGTAAAAAAAACAACAAAAAAACTGTATACAAAGTTTTTAAAACATTTAAATTTAAAAGGAAAAACTACTAAGTTTTAATAACTGATTACAAAATAATAAAAAAAATTGAATATAACGGGTGTTCACTTGAAATCCGGACTGACTTTAAAGGGTCATAACTCCCTTATTTTTTATCAACTTAAAAAAATAAAATATGATTTAAAATCAGCATTTAATTCTCTATAATATGATACTTTATTTATTTTCAATTAAATTTTTTCTTCTTATAGAATCAATTCTTGATAAAATACCCTTTGCAAACTCTTGTACAAGATTGATATCAACTTTGCTGGAGCAATACACTATCCTTTTCCTTAGTTGTTCTAAATTTTCTGCTTGCCAATTATCCTTGTAAACTAAACCTTTTATTATTGAACAAAAATCCTCAATAGGTCTTGCTTCTGGTACATTTGCAGGGTTATCTTCTTTTGGTACAAATCTGACGTTTTGTCCATTTAAATAAGCTTGAACAGAATTAGCATAATGAGACGTCGCCAGATCTGGCCAAAATACAAATTGACTGTCTTGATGATGCTCTTTAATAAAAGGAATAAGACGTTTCTTAATACAATCTTCTAAGTAGATTTTTTGATTGATTGCAAGACCACTTTGACGGATTAGAATTTTTGACATTCCTTTTACAGAAAAGGCTACCCAGACCAGGAGCTTGGGTTCATACTTTCGCTTTGTATAATATTTGACACTAGATGGGCAGAGGTTTATGTCATTTCCGTTGATTGATGAATGAGAAAGAGTAAAATAAGATTCATCATCAATGATCCAATCAAATTTGCTAAAAGCTCGATATAATCTACCACACTTTGTTTTTGCCATCAGTTTTTGATCATCAGTTCGATGTGGAATCTTTTTCTTCTTTCTTTTCTTGATCTTTGATTTTGTCTGAACAATTTTATGGGCATAAGAAGCTGATATTCTAAATTTTCTACCTGCTTTCCTATAAGAAACGCCATCATGATGATCAAACATTGATTTTAACGCTTGTATTTTTTTTTGGGTCATTTTTAGAGCTTTTTTTTCTGAACCAGGACGTCTAAGATATCCAGAATCGTCATCAGCACGTTTAATTATATCATAGATGGTCGATCTGGCAATTTTTTCTTTTTCAAAATGATCTACGGTGTACTTTTTGCCTTTTTCTTTATTTTCAATATAAAAGTTGTACACACCTTTTCGAGTGTCGTCTTGTTTAGGTTTCATTTTCAATTTGAATAATCATTTAATCTAAATATAAAAGTAGTATATTAAAGCTAAATTTAAACGCTTTAAAATAATGTATCACATGGTACAATTGCAATACATTATGTCAGATTTATATTGACTTAAAGTCAGTCCAGATTTCAAGTGGACACCCGATATTTATTATCAAAAATCCTTTAATTATGAGAAAATAGGTTTTCATTTTTTAAGTCTATAAAAACTTAAAAAAGCCATGATGATTAAATACTTAAGTATTTATGAATTTTTTACATATTTAGCAGAATTCAGGATTTACATAATAATGAACTTTGACCTGCATTACACCTGCTGCACTTCATTCCCTAGCCAATTAGATGGTCTTAAAATGAATGAATTGAATCAATTTTACTACCAAGTAACTCACAATAAACACAGAGTTAATTTTCTATCCTATATTATTTAAATTAGGAAAAGAATTTGTTTTTAACAACAGGCTAACAACATGCTAACAAAATGGAGATTAATTTAACAACATTAAAACTCCTTCTTTTACAGATAAACTTTTTTAAAACAGTGAAACCCTTTTTTTAAACATAATAAAAAAGGAGTTATTATACTAACATATTTTAAAATCTAACATTGCATTATATAATTCTTACTGCATCTTATTTTTATTCTTATTATCTTATTTTTTTTTACATCTTTTTGAAAGTCAAAAGTTTTAAGCAAA